GTATTGTTCATAAATTTTGCGAAATATGTCGAAATATTGGAGGAAGGACTCTTGCCACTTTATTCCTCGGGTTTCGTGGACAAGAACAAAACGTTGTTCCAGGAAAATGGAACACCGTGTCACACTGCTAGAAACACCCAAAAGTGGCAGGAAGAAAATGGTATCCAGAAGTTGCCCTGGCCGAGCCAATCTCCTGACATGAACCCCATCGAAAAACCTCTTGTGCCAAACTCGACCGGCAAGTCAAGAAACAACCAAAATCTAAAATTGACGAGATGATTCTCACGATGCCCCAAAGGATCAACGAACTCCACGAAGCGAAAGGAAGATCTACTACATATTAATTAAATTATAAATATATCAATTCATGTGAATATGACTGAAAATTTTCATTGTTTCTGAAAAGGTGATGTCTATTTACTTGTGACCACGCTGTGTGTATATATATTGCCCAATTTTTACATAATGTTGTTCAGTGCCGTAGTATGTGGATCCCATGCGGTGATTACGACAGCAATTCACGTTAGTAGTATTTCTACAAGCGCGATTTTGGGGAGTTGATAAGTTTATTTATGTTAGAAATTATAATGTTTTTTTACTGTAATGTGGCTAAATTAGGATCTTTGTAGTCTTGTATATATTTCAAATGTGTATTTTCATTCACGTACATGTTTTATGAACATTCTGAACAAGAATCAGATCTAAAAACGATTACACATATGTCCCTTTATGTTAATCGAGCTGAATTAACTCTGTTAAAAAAATTCAAGAAAATTTCATATATTGAAACATACATCTTAGAAAAGTTATTTGAAAATAAATTTCTTTCTTGTTTGGTCTTGTTCAAGTTTTATAAATTGTATCCTTGTTAAAGTGTATCGGGAACGTTGTTTAAAATTACGTAATTGTTTACGGTTGGAGGTGTGTGTGTAGGTGTCTGGAGGGGGTGAGTAACTGAAAAAGCATACGTGTGAGTTTGCAGTAAACTGTCTTGTGGAGGAGGAGGAATCAGAAAAACTTCTCGTCTTATAAGACAGTAATTAAGGAAATAAGTTATCTTGTAACGTTGCTTCATGTATTCTGTGTAACATTTCTCTGAAACGGATCCAACTAGAGCATGAAATAGGTTATTGTAGTTTCCTTTCATGGTTATCTCCAACCAATTGTGTTTGAAATTTTAAGTGGGCTTGATTGCTTTATTAATCACCTGACTGTGAAGGTCGACAAGAAAGTCTCTGCCTCTTCATGAACCTGCTACGTAGTACTAGGGGTACACGTCAGATAACTAATTGATACTATAATAATAAGTCAGTAGTAGTAGTAAGTATATAACCTTCATTGTTTCCAAGCGTCTGTGGCGATTTCATTGCAAGCGAAAGCTTTACGAGCATTAATAGGAATTTCGATGTTAGAATAAGCCATACGTAATGTCAGAGAAATAAACATGAAGATACAATTTCAGCATTATTCAGCATGAAAAGCCTTATGTAGTCATTAGTTTTATGTCATAATACCTTTATAATAATCTTTTTTTACTGAACAGCTTTAGAAAGTCGAAACTATCTCTATTCCATGACCTATTGTACATTCGCGTATACTTACAGTACATTGGACACAAAAACAAATCGGGACATTTGCTAGAACTACCTCTTCTAAAACGGCCAGGCATGGCCAGGTGGATAAGGCGCTCGACTCACAATCAGAGGGTCGCGGGTTCGAATCCGCATCCCACCAAACATGCTCGCCCTTTCAGGCCAACTCTTGGGCTACTCTTTTACCAACGAATAGTGGGATTGACCGTCACATTATAACGCCCCCACGGGATGGGTGGTGATGACTAGCTGCCTTCCCTCTAGTCTTACATTGCTAAATTAGGGACGGCTAGCGCAGATAGCCCTCGTGTAGCTTTGCGCGAAATTCCAAAACAAACAAACAAACAAACAAAACCTCTTCTAAAAAAAAGCGTTTTACCAGATAAAATTCTTCTTGGATACTTATGTAAAATAATAAATAACTACAGTTAAAAACAAAAACCTTATTTAGTTTGCACAACAATATTTTTTATGAGACTGATGTACACTTGACCTGTTTCGCGTTAGAGAGTTGAAACGTTTCGAGTGAAATGAAATTGCAGATCAATGTCAAAAATGATTATTGTGTAAATAAAAAGAGATACAATGAAGTATAGGTTACGCAAACTATTTTCTATGTACAGTTTCCACTCGTCATAAACCCTGATTACTTCTGTTATATTGCGGTGATGTATGTAAATACTTTAGAAATTTCGTCATGTACGATCTTGCGGTAATTTGGTACAAGCACTATCAATTTTCGAAAAAAAAAGTAAGTGCCATTTTTGTGGAAATAATTTAAATATTGTACACCTGTGTTTGAATTGAACATTAATCTTTGTTTGTTTTTTCAAACTCAAAATTAGAGTGGATAATTTTTGTCTGACAATTTAATGTTATCAGAACAATTATCTTCGCTATATCATTCGGTACCCACGAATTAAGAGAATTTCTTTGGAAATGAGGCACGCTTCCGTATCTGAATGGTATGAACGAACTGCACTTAGAACGTCTTCGTATTTTAAAATCAGTCATGTGTGTCTGGGTCCACTACATGTTGTGAGCTAATTTATCTTATTTATCGTATTCCACAGGCATCCATGGATCTTCCTCCAGATAAGGCTAAGCTTCTGAAACAGTATGATGATGAGAAGAAGTGGGACATGATTTGTGATCAGGTAAATTGGTTACTTTGTAAAGTGAATATACTTATTCGCTGTCAAGGGTGTGAGACAAATTTTGTGAAGACAACCGTATGAGAAATTTATAAAAATTTCTACGGAAATAAAGAATGCTGTATGCTAGATGTTTTACATGCATATAAACATGTTTTACATGCATATTATTTGATAAACTGTGATACAAGCGCGCGCAATTGATTTATGAAATATTTGAATGCTTTTTGATAGTGTATAAGCATAAAAGTTTTTATTAGACTAAGTAATATTACCTTTTGATCAAAGCAAGCTACCAATATATATCAGAACTAAAAATCAACTCAGTAATGGGTGGAGTTAATTAAGTATACCGTTTGTACATTCTTACTTATGATGATTAGAATGCATTATTTCGTCACTGTAGCACCTTTTCTGTTAACGGTGTTTTCGTCCTTAACCTAATAATATCTCACGAGGTTCATCCAGCGTAGGAAGTTTAGGTCAGCCCTACATCCGTGTACTAAGCTAACATTGCAAAATAATATTTATAATAAAATAATAATCTTACTATAATGGACGTAGCGCGTATGTCAGTATGTAACCAAACCTCCTGCGCCATGTATTGAGTGGCACCAGAACCAAAAATTCATTAAAAAGTTCACAGTTTGGGTATTCAAGATTCAAACAATTAAAAAAATAACTGTGGTATGTGCAACAACCATTTCTTGATAATATAACATAATTTTAAATAAAAGTACTCTCCTCACAACAAGAACAAGACTTTCACTAGGACTGTACACTAGGGTTTAATTATATCTTTTTTGATGTAATTTTTTAGTGTAGTACTGAGAAACTGGAGTTTATAAAAAAAACTTATTTTTTTCAATAAACGGTACCACTTTTAATATATAAAAACATTACAGTTTATATCTGTAAAATTTATGCAAATTTTGAGTTCTATACATTGAATCATTTTGATGCAACGAGTTGCGTATGACTAACGAGTACAATCCGAACACTTCCCATGGAGTACTTCCCAGAAAAAAATCGTTGGGCGGCGTTTCTGCTAGTAAAAATAATAGATACTTTTAAACATAGTAACCAAATACTGCCAATGAATGTAAGATATAAAAAAATGTTATAGTGTATAGCTTATTTAAAAAAACAACATGTAAACACTACAGCAATGGTTCCCAATTATTTTTTACACTGGACCACTTCAGACGAGGACCATAAAGTAAAGGGCTGGACCTCAGCTTGTTGGGAACTACACCATACCATCATAATGCGGGTCACGAATTAGACTTTCTAGGACCTGATGTAAACCACAGGCCGCCTATTTGGAACCACTACACTAGAGGTTTACTTCAAGAATTAACATAAATTTATCGTTCCTTTAAGAATTTGGCATCAGTACACGCAAAACGTAATATAATCGTACCTAAAAAAAATGTCACGTGACTATGAATGCCCAATAAGTGACTACGACGTGTAACTTCTTGAGAGTAAAAAAATTGTCGTTTGTATTCAAAACAAAATTTTAAGTTAACCATCAGTATTTACCGTGATTGACCTAGCATGATATTTGGGGTTACTGAGGGCATTGGATACCAGAACAATACCACAGCGTATATTTTCTATAGTGTGTTGATATAGATCCTGATTTACTCTTCATCGCAAATAGAGAGAAAAGGGACTAATTTTAAGTTTCCAATGGGTATTCAGTAAGGTAAAAATCCACAAATGTATGTATTACCATTGACACTACGCTGGGCGGGACCTTAGTGGTTAGCGAACCGGACTGTGAACCTGGGGCCCATGGTTCACGTCCCGTTGCCGCAAAATCGGACTCCTCACTTTGAAAACGTGAGTGCGTTTTGAGAATGACTGTCAGATTTCAGTTTGTCAAATAATTGGTGGTGGATACTGTTGCCTATCTGCCTTCACTTTTATCTATCAGTTCAAAATTAGATAGCTCTTGTGTACTTTGCGTAAATATCCGAAGCAAATAAACAAACCATTGAAAATTTGTTTTATCTTTCGTAATTTAAGTTTTCTCGACCGTGGTCCGACATTGTCTCAAGGTTTTAACTAAATAATACGCATTAAAGTACTCCTGACATAGTAGGATATGTTTCATTAATATTTGGAAGTCTTAAAGAAAACCACCTAGTGATCAGGTTCTTGTAGGTATTATGAATAGCTGGCTACTTTAGTATCTGCTTTTAATAAAAGTTTGTTCTTAATGTTTCATTGCAGTGATATTTTGGCCAATATTAGTGATGAAAAGTTCCCCTTTCGTTAGGTATATCCATAAATGAACCTAAAAATGATTATGTTACAAATGAATGATGTTTTTCATCGATGCTCAAGTGTTGAAAAAAATGACGTTATTAATGTGTTTCAGAACCTGAATATTTAATTCTTAATTACTGTTTTTAAAATTTCAAGGAAGTTCTCTTTCAAGTTTTATATTTATTGTTCTTTACTTCTATTCGTAGTTCATTTTTTCAAGTATGAACTTAAATATCGTGAAATAAAACTCATGTCAGTTCCTTTTCACTCGTCTGAGACAGTTTTTATTTTGGTTGATTTTTTATTTCATCTTTCGTATCATTGGTGTGAATGTAAATAACGAAGTTACTGCTTTGATAAAATATTGTAATTGACAATTTTTGATTTTTTCTTTCTACAACTTCGTAGACGAAATGTATGATCCATAAATTTTCATAGTTTTCCGTAATTTTAATTCTAAGTTAAGAGATAATATATTTATTTTTGAATTTACCGTATTTCCCTGATCATTTTTTGTAAATGTTAGTGTTTGAGAATTTATTCTGGTGATCGTAAAAATTACTTAAAGCATATTACGTATTAGCCAACAGATTTAATTTGATTATAGATGTATATATCCGAAATATTATTTTTCTTTGAAGGAAAAAGTGATGGCTAAGGAATCTCCATCTTTTTATCTCAGAAAACTGAAGACATACCTAGATCCTAAAGCTTCCAGAAGTTCGCGGGTAAGGTGATTGCTACTTAAGATTCATACATAACGAGAGAAACACTGTTTAACATAATCATGTTTTTTCTTTGTAACCTTATAGTTGATAGGTATAAAAACGCCTTTTACTTACATGAAAAAGTAACACCCCTATGTATTGTGACATTTTGTATGTGGCATAATGGTGCAATAAATCTGCTTTGTTCGACTCTGAATGTAATATTATTCAGATGCTAAAGAACGAGGTTTAGTAATGGCTGCTAATAAACTTTTGGACCAGACTGCCAGTGTAACATTATTTCAATGGTGTAATTTGGTATGCCGTTTTTTCTTCTTCTTCTCGGGCAATTAATATCTGTGTGAAACACAGGTAGGCCTACTTGTGTTTGGACAACAGCTACCATTGGTCCATACCCATTCTCCGCTGGGATCTGTGTACTGGAATGAGCGAATACAGAATTGAACACTAGAAATCAGTTATGTTTGATGGATAAAACTTTTTCAATGGTTTCTGTCTGCAGACGCGCTCTCCAAGCCCTGTTAACCATATTCAACACTTCACGTGAAAAAGATTGTGTAACGTTTTTTCTTTCAAGCTTAAAATCGGTAAATATACACTCTAAGACGATGTGATCAACCATACTCCCACGCACGCGTGAAGATATATTTCCGTCACGCACTGAGTACTAGGATAGATATGTCCCGTTATATGGTGTTTTTACGAAAGTATACAGCATACTAAAGAATAGGTTTAGGCCACCAGGACATTACCAACATCTCTACATGTTGTACTAAATTTCAAATTGCCATATCGAGAACGAATATATTAAAAATTAATGAATATGTTTTGTATTTTAGCAACATGTACACAAGTGTTTTTACTTTCCTACAATTTGAAGACGTGATAGAATATGCTACTATTGCTAGTATTATACTGCAGGAAATCCCCGTCCCACCAAACATGCTCGCCCTTTCAGTCGTGGGGGCGTTATAATGTGACGTTCATATACACTATTCTTTGGTAGAGTAGCCCAAGAGTTGGCGGTGGGTGGTGATGACTAGCTGCCTTCCCTCTAGTATAAAACAAAACGTGTTTTACACTTTAGGGCTTAGGGTACGTTATAAGGATAACGGTCAAATCCCAATATTTGGGCAAATAATAGTAGCCCAAGAGTTAGTGGTGGACACTGTTAACTATTATAATAGGTGGTGACGGTCAAATCACATTATTCGGTCACACAAGAGTTCGTGGTGGATGCTGTTGGCTAGCTGCCTTTTCCCAAGTCTAGTCTATAAGTTCAAAATTAGGGACGGCTAGTTTCAATAGCTCCTGAGTAGCTTTGCGCGAATATCCAAAAACAAACATGAAACTTTTAAGTCTTATCGTGATAACAATAGAATTGGCATGCTTCATATATAGGCTGCTGCAAAACTATTATTTTTTCTTTTCGAGATAATTGGTCGTTTTACAGAGGTAAGCAAATAAGATTTCCTTTGTGCCAAGTGAAGGTCACATATTTCGTCTTGTCTCCTATCTTTGCACAGTTCCCTCACCCCCCATCGTTGAGTCATAGACGCTTGTTGATTAGCGGCTGAGATAAGTTTTCCCACCCATCCTCAGACAAAGACAACATTCAATTCACTTAATGTCTATCTGAAAACTAACTACAGAACAAAATTTATTTCAAAACTATTAACAGTGTACAGGCAGTAATTAGAAAATGCCTTTGTGCCAGAACATTTCAAGAAACAAACCTGAAATATTTTCATACGTTTTTATGCTGCCTGCATCATGAATTATTATGAGTGTGGGATAAATATTTTTGTCTCCATAAAAACAATTGGATTACGTTATAAGAACTTATAAGTGAAAGTAAATAAGAATGTAATAATATGTCAACTCTACTGTGTCTGCTATTTCCAGTACTAACGAGACCTTTCGCCAGTACCAGGCCGGTTGAGATACGACGTAGTAGTGTAGTGGTCGAGACGCTATATAAATATATCATCAATTATTTGAACAACAACTGTTTCGATGTGAACTAAATTACGTTAGTGAATTGTAATTATCAATTTTCACCAAGTCTTTACACATGAGTTATTAACATGAATGTACATATTTATTTTTATACGAAATTGTTTATTATCAATTTTACTTTAATTGAATTAAATTTACTTTCCATCCTGGTAGGGCTCTCGACTCGCAATTTGCGGGTTCGAATCCCCATCCCGCCAAACATTCTTGTCCTTTCAGCCATGGGGGCGCTATAATGTGACGGTCAATTCCACTATTCGTTGTTAAAAGAGTAGCTCAAGAGTTGGCGGTGGGTGGTGATGGCTAGCGCAGATAGCCCTCGTGTAGCTTAGCGTGAAATTCAAAACAAACCAAATTTACCATCCAAAAGAAGGAAGGAATAGGTGGAACTTCAAACCTCACCCTCCCAGATCCCGATTAAGTCGTCGTCGTCCAAATGAACTGGCGAACCAGTAAGCTGGTAAAAAGTTGTAAAACAGAATACGCGAAGATTTTATGTATAAGGAAACAACTAAAAAACGACTGTTTCAACTTTGTGACTTTTATCTTAATGTCATGTGCATACTTCTAAACAACAACATTCTTCAAATGTAGGACACCCTACTTCAGGATGTATAAAGTTTTAATGAGGGCATTGAAGAATTTAGAATAAATGGAAGTATGTGCCAATAATTTTTAAAGCAGTTTGCCACCGCATAGTGGACTTAATTCAGATTTTTTCTTTAAATAATTAACTAGAAAGAAATTCATAATTTAAGGAATATAAATACCATACCCCAGCCGACCTGATAAGCTCTAAAATTAGGCGAAAGGCTTAGTTGACACTTGATGTGGCGGATGTTGTGTGGTGTCTTTGCTTTCACTTAAAAGTTTTCAGAATTAGTTGAAACTTGGTATGGTTTTTTTAACTCCAGTATTTTTTATAGGTTTTAGAGATGCTAGATTGGACCATAGTTACTTCCGTATTACAATATAACCCCAGTATGATTTATAAAATACGATATTACTCAAGACAGTAAAAATACTCAACCGTAAGTTTCAGCCTTGTGCCTTGCCAGTACACATTGATCTGCACATACAATAATAGTAAGAAGTGGAACGTGCCACATGAATGTTATTCGCCGACCTTGTCAACCACGTGACCTGACAGCTTTGGACTCGCGCGTTCAAAATTTATGCGTAGGGGTTCTGTTGTTTTAATTTAAGGAACTTTCCAGAGAATTACGTTAGGCTGTTGATATATATATATATATAACTGAAAAGTATGAGTTATGGAATCACTCTACAGCGTTAAATATTTTAGTTGTTAATATGCTATAGAGGTGGGGTTAGATAAGAATAATAAATATAATATTGTTACAAAAGTTTTAATACGATCTGGAGTTGTAATCAGTGTATCCAGCGGCTGAATATCACCGTAACTAATGTCAGATTGCTACAATTATTTGCTAAAAAGAAAAGCATCTGCCACTTTATATACAAAAATAAAAATTTTGATCATATAGTTGAGATTTTCTTCTAAGAACCCTTTGTGCAGTGTTATTTATTAAACATTGTATTTTGTTACGGTGCTTAAAATACAAGGCCAGCATGGGTAGGTGGTTAGGGAGCTCGACTCGCAATCTGTGGGTTCGAATCCCCGTCCCACCAAACATGCTCGCCCTTTCAGCCATTGGGGCATTATAATGTGACTGTCAAT